TCTTTGGTTTTATTTATTTATTTTTAATAATTACTTTTTTTTCCTCTGGGGATATGCTTGAAAAGTTGTCCTTTCCAAAAAAGCGAAATAAGCACCTGTGTGTCATCAACAACAAGAAGTCAATTTAAATAGAGCAGTTCATTTTGTTTTTCAAGTCACAATAAATCCCTAACAGCTTTTCCCCAGCGTTTGCCATCTAGTCTTTTATTAATTTTTTTTATTTTTATTTTTTTTTAAACACAATGTACAAAAATAGAGCTTCTTCCTTATTTTTAATGTAAAAATATTCCTCTGGTGCAGTTTTTTTTTTTCCTTTTTTTTTTTGTGGTTTATTATTGTGACACTGGTTTTGTCTATTTTTAGCTGGGGTTGGTGGGTCGTATTCTCTTAGTCCTCTTGGTGACTGTTGTGTACTTGAAAGGTTTCTGTATCTCCACTTGCCCCTTTGGGTACCTCTTCATAAAATGTACATCTTGCTGGTTCTCGCGGGTCTTGGGCCCTTTCCGTGGCCTCCCTTTTTTGGTGAATCCAACATACCAGCCTGAATATTTTGCTGACATCAGTGCCGTATAGTTGTTTTCTAGGACTTTTTCAATGAAGACGCACTCCTTGCTGGTTCCATCAGGCTGAAAAAGGGGGAAAAAAAAGAAAAAATTCATCATCCAAACGCAAGCTCAGTGACCAAAACCCAATTTGGCATAAATAAAATCATCACATCTGGACCTTGTTTTTGGTTCAAACATTGTTAATAAGAGCCGTAACAAATATCAGATGAAATAAAAATGAATAAAAAATAAAAGCACGAAAGCATGAGGTCATAATTTCATTTTTTTAAACACTCCTATCCGAGGAGAGAAAGATTTTTCAAAGACAACCGTTAAGTTTATCCAGTCCAGCTCCTTCGATTGCAAGCAAAGCAAGACATTTAGCTTTGTTTTTTCCATTAGGGAATTAGGATGAATTGAACTTGTGCCAGGGAAACATCATATCTAATCGGAAAAAATTTTTAAAAAATCAGAATCTCATACAGGCCAAACAACAGCGTTGCCACTTCCACCACTCACTTTCAATATGTTTTCCAAAATACCTTATGGGCTTGGATCCACAACTACCCAAACCCCACTAAAATCATTACAAGCCTTCATCTAAGCCTTCCCAGAGCTTTGAAAACTCCCCCCACAGCATCCCGAGCACAGCACCTGGCAAATAAACTGTGCATGGAGCTCCGGGGATGAGCCAGAGGGTACCACAGATGTCAAAGTCTACCCCACTCCAATCCCTGAATCCAACTGTTTATTTCAGAGCTGCCTTGCACGCCCCAGGCTTAGCTCCAACTCATATCCCTGAGCAACATCAGCAGTGGAAAGGGCTGTGCCCACACTGGAGCAGCTCCTTAGGTGGGCCAGCATCCCACCAGCATCCCACCAGCATCCCAATGGACTGCAGCTGGAGGACTATGGGGCAGCAGCACCCTCAGCCACCAGACCCACCCCAGCTCCACTGCCAGCAAAGGGGACACAAGTTCCATATTTTACACCTCTGCTCTCTCAGGGTTGGTTTTGTCTGGAAAAGGTTTCATTTCAGCTGGCAGAGGGGACATGGTCCTTCCCCTTTCCACATCTTTCAATCACAGCCTAAAAGCAGCCACTCAGAGCTCAAGTACCTGGCTTAGGAAACCATATCCCTAAATGACAGTCTTCCTCGCAGAGGGAGCCAGGATTAGATGCAGAACTGGAGGTCAGAAGCTCCTGAATATGAGAATATGAGTACTGCTCCCCAACCAGCCTGCAGCAAACCTCCTGCCCTGCTGGGACTCCTTTCCCAGAGGACTGTCTCCCATGGCAGGGACCCCACGCTGGAGCAGGGGCAGAGTGTGGGGACCCTCCCCTGAGGACGAAGGAGCAGCAGAGACAGCGTGTGATGGACTGACCCCAACCCCCATTCCCCTTGCACCGCTCAGGGGGAGGAGGGAGAGAAATGGGGAGCAAAGCTGAGCCTGGGGAGAAGGGAGGAGTGGGGGGAAGGCGTTTCAAGATTTAGTTATTATTCCTCATCACCCTATTGAGATTCAACTGGTAATAATGTAAACTAATTTCCCCAAAAGTCAAGTCTGTTTTGCCTGTGACCATAATTGCTGAGTGATCTCTCCCTGTCCTTGTCTCGACCCACAAGCCTTTCCTTATATTTTCTCTCCCCTATCTAGCTGAGGATGACAGTGATGGAGCGGCTTTGGTGGGCACCTGCCCTCCAGCCAAGGTCAACCCACCACACAGGGTTCAGCCCGGCTTGGAGATCTAGACTAACAGACCCAGAGCTGGACTTTGAACGCAGCAGCATGTGGATCTCGGGCTGGATTCAGGTCTCTAATTTACACAGCACGTGCAGCACCGGAGGGACTTGCAGCATCACACAACAGCATCTTTAAGTGATTCGGCACAGAGGAAATTCTTCTCGCCTATAATCTTCTGCCAGAAAATATGTTTTGTCCTTTAACTGCTGAGTTACTAGTACTGCACCTAGAATTTCATGCATCATTGTGTGCACCAGCACCCAGTTTTATGCATCAAAAGATATTAGGGAGGGATACAGGCTCACTTCAGCCCTGGATGTTGTCTCAGTTCTGGGTGTTTTATGGATTCTGGAAAGAGATAAGCAGTGTGGGGCATCATACAGGACTTCATCTAATGCTCAGCAAATCCAAAGGAAGGGTTTACATTTTAGTATAGCCCAATCCTACTCCCCACTGAAGTCAAATGTTTTTCAGTACTGCAGGCTTAGGCTTACTGCTATGCTTACAATTAAACTCTCTCCATGCAAATCAAACAGCATCAGACCATCTCAGTCTTTAGTCATTTCATCCATCCCATCCCTGGAAATGGGAAATCCCAGGAAAGCCACAGCAGCGTGACCACCACAGCACCTGTAGTGATGGTCAGTCCCAGGCTGCAGCAGCTCTGCTCATGAGTTCCTCTGGGCACAATGGCTAGGGCAAGGAGCCCAGCCCCACATGCTGACCACCCCTCCCCAAGGTCAGGTCAGGCTGCTCTTTCCTAAAAGGTCCTGCACAATCACAACAGAGTTTGGTGAAGTTTGTGGGAAGGGCAGGGATCATGGGACAGAAGGGAAGCCCCTGGCTCAGGCTTCTCTGCACCTCCGATCCCCAAATAACCGCGTACGAGCTACAAACGAGCTATGATATTCAAACCATCAGGCATGGCAACCCAAGCTGCAGTCATGCAGACAACAACAGGGGGAAAGTTTCATCATCGCCAACATCCAGGACCAGCCACCCCTCCCTGGCTTAATACCTTTAGCAGAACTTCGGTTCTATCGGTGCAACAGTATGTGATATTTACCCTAAAATCATCAACACACCATCCTGCCTAGAAGGTTTTGCTACCAAGAGTAGGTCCCATTAAGAAGGCGGGGAGATCACGGCAACTTCTGCATCAAACATGCTAATCCAGGGTCCGTGTTCCCTATAAGTGTCCCCTACACAGGGGGCAAAGCCAGCTCTGCCATAGAACTGGCAATCTCCATTCTGGGCTAGGCACAAAGGTCCTAATTTTATCATCTACAGTTGGAAGCTCACAAACACTTTAATGAATGGCAGAACTGGGCAAAGCTCAATGGTTCCAGTTCCTGGGGGGTGGGGGGTGGGGAGGTGGGTCATTCTCCAGGCCCTGGGTTTGATCAAAGCCACATGAGTGGGGAAGGGGGAAATCAGTCAACACCACAGGGTTCCACCAGGTTTCAATGGGAAGCCATAAAACCAGCCCCAGGTTTCTCAGGGCTCAGCCCACTACAAACCCTTCCTCAATGAATGGAGAATTTTTAAACAATACCATGGCTGAGTTTCAAATCCACCCAAACCCAGGTGCTGATGAACCGACCGGATCTGTACCGCAGGGGGAGCAGGTAATTAGAAGGGCCATTTCCCCTACACTCGTGGAAACGTCCTGGATTTGAGCCCTGACCTTGTTGCTAGGAGAATTAAGGCGTTTTCATGCAATTTGGGAGGTTTCCACTTGTACTGCAATGTCACTTTCTCATGGAAAATGAAGACTGGAATGAAAAGTAAACGTGTGTGTAGGAGGGGGAAGTTATTCTATTAATAACAAAAAAGTATTTACTTATACCTTCAAATTTGCCGACAGAGCCTAAGACGGAGACAGGAGGTGGAGGAATAACAAGGTGCAACTTCAGGCCAACCTCAGGGCTAATTTGAAGTAAACAAGGTGCATGAGATAAAATAACTTCGTTCTGGAAGAGGAAGAGCTCAATGATTTGATAACATGAAATTACAGTAACATTTACAAGTACCTCGAGATAAATCAGGATAAGGACCTCACTTCCCCAAAAACTCCTGTACGTGCTAAGACACATCAGAGACAGACAAATGATTTTCAAATACCTGCAAGATGATTTTACAGCATCTGTTATAATCACCAATAGACTAAATCACCCACACATTACCTACACCATGGAGAGCGGGAACCATGGTAATCTATTATGGAAAAAAGCAATTAATAAGGGTTTTCAATAATTTTTAAGTGTCAGCTTGCTTTCACCAAGTGCCCACCTCTTAAGGTCTAATCACGGCCCCATTTAAATGACAGCAAGATACTCACTGGGCCCTGTCACCCATCCCCTCGCTCCTCCAGAGAGGAGGATGGAAAAAAATGGGGAGATGGCTTGGCCAAGCACCACTCCCTGCTCCAGCCTCCTGCTCACCCTTCCCCAGGAGCTCCAAGTGCAAACACTTGTTGCAGATATGGGGCTGCACCCTCTGCTGCCGACGTCAGCTGGGAGATGCTGCCAAGCCGCATTTCATACATACTTAGCTGTCAGGATGCACCTTGCAGAGCGCTCGCCCTTCAAAACATGGAGGTTTATGGGTTGAAGAGTTCTCAAAAGCCTTGGGGCGGTGCAGGAACCGCCTGGCCTGGTGCGACGGCACTGCCAGTGAGGACCCGCACCCAGGCCCGCATCCCCATCAGCCCCACACAGCATGGCAGGCTCCAGGGCTTTGCAGCCCAGGGGTGTCACACACTTGCTTGGGGGATGAGCTGCTTCTGCATTTTGCTCACCCCCACCCCACAGGCAACATCCCCAGCCGAGCTCCCTGGGCAGGGCGAGAGCCGACGCAGAGGCACAGCTCTGCTCCTGCAAAAGGCACAGGCTCTCTTCAAGTCAGCACCTCCTTGTACTGTGAGGAGCCACCCCCAAATCACTGATTTTGCTCCTGGGAGCTGCTGGCTGTCTGTGCAACGAGGCTCTGCCACCAAGGAGGTGCAAACTTGCAGCTCAGTTGTTTGCATAGAAATAATTCAGAGTGTTTCTTGTTTAAAGACACCCTTAATAGCCACGGGAAGACTAGCTGCTAGACAGACTTCTGATAAAAATCTTATAAAATGCCTGATCTAAACACCACTTTCCACAGAAACCCCTCAGGCATCACCCAGGTCTGCACAGAGGCGAAGGGAAAGCCCAGCCGGGCTGGTAAATCCCGAGCAACACTCAGCACCGGTGAGTGCCATCCAGAGGGCCATCTCCAGAGGGCCATCTCCAGTAGCTAAGAGCCGGGAGGTGCCCCCGACACAGTGAGCGGCTGCCCAGTGACAAG